GGTAGTTAATGAGGTGTGATTTGGTGTCAAAAGGCATCTCAGTAAAGCCACCTGGCAGCCCCGCAGCCCCCCCACATTGGCAGAACAGCAGCAACAGAGGAATGACTGTAAAAACAACAACAAAGCTTTAGTCTAACTTAATGGCTCCAAAATTGTGATGTGTGCAATGATGCCTCAAAAAAGAGAGGTGCCGTTTCAGTTTACTTGGCACAATATGTGTGGTTATGTCTTCTCTTGTAATAGTCAACCATGTAGCTCTTTATTAGCAACAGTAGATGTTTCTATAGCCATTTTGGTGTTGTATGTTGTAATATTTGCTGTGTTGTTTTGACTTGTCTCACAGTCTTAGGCCTCTTGAGTTTGTCAGATTTGGCACTGCCATCTACTGGTCAGACCCACAATTACATCTAAAAGTTGAGAGTTCTCAGAAATTATCTTAAACAAAACTGAAGCTGTTAGAGATTGTTATCTGATTCTTTTTCCCACCACAATTGCTGGGATGTCTGTTGGAGCATTTAAAAGAACATGACAACTTCTCATTATGAAAACATAATTGCCCTCTGATCAAATCACTCACAGTCAGACACTGTTTTGTGCCACAGTTACAATAGTTGTGGTCATTTCAATACACTTCCTCAATGAAGAATTTTGTGTCAATGAAAAATTCCTAGAGATGTTTTATTTACTTTATATCATTTGCCATTGATAAATACTTAAAGATTTTCAGGTGCTTGAATTCAGACAGTGTAGACCAGTGGTTTCCAGACTTTTTTAAAAGAACTACCCCTACAGCACAGTCCAATGAACTCAAGTACCCCTTTATCAACACCACCATTTATGTTGCAAATGTGCTCATTTGAATTTATTTCAAACTCAATGTTATTTAACTAATAATCATATAAAGGTGCACATAATAACAGATGTTGCAATATTTTCATATGAAGTATGCATTCGTACTTGTTCCATCAACTCTGCACACTTTAATTGCACTCATACCTAACTTAATTGTTATAGCTGACTCCTATGTGGATGTATTTTTAAAATGAAATCATTAAATACATTTTTCCAAATTAGTTGAGCTACTCTACTCTGTGTAGAGGGTTTTAATGCTCATATGAAGTCATTAGATGCTTATGTTTTAATAGGATACATCTAATAACAATAGTAAAATCTGAACATCTAATTAAGTAAATTAAATTCTTCTTAATACATATCTTACGTATTCACAGACCTGTTGACCTGATCCACCTTTCTTTACTCTAGCATAACTAAGTATTCATGGTATTGGGTGTAGTATTTAACAGTTCTGAAAAGGCTTTACATTCATTAACATCCTATGTGTTCAGACTATATATTAATATGATTTGAATCTATAATATGTTCATATCTAACAAATTCTCTAACTATTATTTCACATTTGAAAAGACATGTATGCTGTCTACAACCTAGTCAAAAGTGTTTGATCAGACGACACTTCACTTATCACATCATACTTACGTAGTAAAAGCAGCAGGCCCAGGAGTAGCAGTCCGATGCCTGCAGGTCCTAACTCTGCTCCTTTCCTGGGCTGACCATTGGCGCCTCGTTCTTTACACAGCACTCCATCCTCACACGTACAAACCTTGACCTCCACTTTCTGTGGTTCTGGACAGGCCACTCCCTGCTCGTCCGTCACCTCAAATTGCACCTCGTAGGAACCAGGCCACATGGACTCCTGGGCCCTCAGGATAGCGGCAGTGTCTGCCGGCGATAGTGGTAGAAGTAGAAGTGTAGAAAATCAATATGCTATACTGCACACACATTCTAAGTGTCCACTAGATGCAAACCAGGCATCATAGTCAAAACAGGCTTAGTGCTAGTTTTAAGGTTTTATATTAATCCTGTTTTTTGTGAAGCTTAAAGCGACTCATGCTCAATTTTAAAAATGTTTCACTTTGGCAACCCATAGTTGTAAAAACAGAACTGTGGCAGATACTAATTCATGTCAATACAGGGTAATTTTTTTCATCTTTTTCTTTTTCCTCCAAATATTCATTTGGGCTTTTATTGCCTTTAATTGATAGTGACAGCTGAAGAGTGATAGTAAAGGGGGGATAGAGAGGGGATGATACGCAGCAAAGGGCCACAGGTTGGATTTGAAACACACGGCCGCTGCAGCAAGGACTCAGCCTTAGTACACGGGGGGTCAGCTCTACCAGGGCCCCAATACAGGGCCATTTCTAACTATATATCTATTTGTACATTTCTATATATATTTATATTTCACTGGCTATCTACCATAACTTAAATAATTGTCAGTATTCTCATTACCATTGAGATGCTCCACCTTCCATTTGCCCACCGTGCCCTCTGGGATGATGGTAAAGTGAAAAGGAGGTCCGTTAGGGTAAACATCCTCATCTATGGCATTCACAATAACAGAATCATCCGTGGTACACATAGTCTGGATGTTACTGGTCAGGGTGGGGCAATGGTCATTAAAATCTTGCACCTGGATGGCTATGGTGCCGGTGGCTGTTTTACCGTTAATGTCTGTGTTGGAAAAACAGAAATAAGAACAGATCATTCAGCATTTCCTTGGTTTTGATCTCCACTCTTCAGAAACAAGTTCAGAGACAGATACTTTACTCTTTTAAACTTTTACTCCCTCTGTTTGTAAGATTAACAAACATTGATGAAACAAAGTTTTTGTTATATACATAGAGCAACAGTGTACCTTCTGGAATGCACAGAATTTTGGCGAAATATGTCCCATTGAC